ATAGATGCACTGCGTCACAAAAATGCTTCGGATATGGTTTTGGTTATCAAGGTGTCTTTATAGGAGCCTACATGATTGATTGCTTTAAAAACGAAAGTACCTAACAGAGTTTTTAATTTTATGCTTATGAGCGTTCATCCTTCCTTGCATCCTTTTTAGTTTTATGCCATTTTTTTTATAAATTCAATTCCAGCTCCACACAGTGATACGAAAGCTATTTAAATACTTGCGCCCAATTCCAACCCATTTACAAGCCGCAGAATTTTCTAGAATTTACGTATAAATAAAAAAACTGTTTTGCAAATAGGTAAGTTTGTTGATACTGTTATTTGAAATTTAAAGCATTTTTAATTGGAATAAAGAATAATTTAATATTATCACTATGTTTAACTATCTTACTTTTATCTTTAATATAAGTGGTAGTTTTTAAATAAGAATAAAAACAATTAATTATTAAAACGATTACGGGAACATGTACTCTACTTCTAGGACCGATATCGGCGATTATTAAGGACGTCACCGAAGAAGCTTAGCTATTATGGACGACGTAATTATATATTTGATGTGTATGTGTGGAAGAGTTAATTCATATCTCATCTTAATCTAAAATGTTACTCTTTACGTAACAATACTGACCTGTCGCGACTTTTTTCTCGTGCGTTTCAGCCACGGCTTCTTCAAATGAACGTATGTAAAGTGGAGCCGCTACCCGTGGAGATCCTTAAAGCATTTCTCGCATACCTCACACTTGAATTGTTTCAAGTCGGTGTAGACTTGAAGAATATTTGTTGAATTTTTTTAAATAGAATAAGGGTGGCATATGAGCACACTGTCTACCTGATGGTAAGTGAATGCTGTGGCCCATAGACACCTATTAAGAATCCTTATCCTATGTAAAGCAGCATTAAGTTGCTATTTTATGCTGATATTATGTGAGAGCGTGGTTCTACCCCAGTCGAGCCGATAAATCCGTACTACAACCATAATCTAGCGGCAACGTGGCTCTGTTACGTAGACAGACATCACCACAGAGCATCATAACGTGATATAGTTATGCTGCTGTGTGCTGGTGGAGTAAGATAATCTCTCAGTCGTCATATCGTCCCGTGGGTGTCGTAAGAGGTTACAGAGGAAAACTGACACAGGAGATGGGCAGCAGCGTTTCCTTGATTATAACTGAAAATAATGAAAAAATCGCGTTCAGTGGACATATCTACGCCCCGCCGGCTCCTGTGCCGTCAACGCTGTCATTTTTCTTATCGTAGCGTGGAAAGTTGCTCTAATAAGATTTTCCAGCATCAATTTATCTAATATACAGGATTATTGATAGCTAGTTCACAACCTCTCGTATGCAGCTTTTCTACCTCATATATAACTTCTATTCCATGCATTTTTACAAAACCATTACAGCCCTTTACAAGTCCACTGCTGAACATAGGCCTCCCCCAAGTAATGCCACAAAGCACGGTCCTGAGCCACTTGCATCCATCGACTTCCTGCATGTCTTACCAGGTCGTCACTCCATCTAGTGGTGTGTCACCCTACACTACGACTACCGGTACGAGGCTACCACTCGAAAACCTTTCTTCCCCATTGGTTATCGGTTGTTCGAGCTATATGGCCGGCCCATTGCCACCAGCTTACTAATCCGTTGGGTTATGTCGGTCACTCTGGTTTTACTGCGTATATGCTCATTTTTGAGTCTATCACGCAGAGAAACTCCGAGCATAGCCCTCTTCATAGCTCGCTGAGCAACTTTGAGGGTCCTCATACGGCCAGCAGTGAAGGACCACGTCTCATATCTGTAAGTCATCACTGGCAACACGCACTGGTTGAACAATCTAGTTTTCAAAGTTTGAGGTATACCTGACGAGAAGATGTGTCGTAATTTCCTGAACACTGCCCAGCCGAGTTGAATCCGTCGATTGACCTCTCGGTCGAAGTTGGACTTTCCTAGTCAGACTATTTGTCCCAGGTAAACGTACTCGTCAACAACTTAGAGCATAGTGCTCCCAACAACTACCGACATAGGTGTGACATGGACATTGAACGTGATCTTTGTTTTGTCCACGTTCATCTTAAGACCTATCCGTTAGGAGACTCCATTCTGTCTTATTCTGATTCTTGCTGTCTGCCATCGTAGCTCTACTGTACAATCACTTCAGCACTTCGATATACCCACAGTCAACTTGGCACCGCTGAAAGGACTGTAGCACCGCCCAAATTTCGACAGAATCAAAGGCTTTCTCATAGTCCACATACGCCAGGCAATGTGGCAGATTGTACTCTTCGGACTTCTGTACAATCTACCGCAGGGTATGTATGTGGTCTATGGTACTGAAGCCTTTTCGGAAACCGACTTATTTGGGAGGCTGGAAGTCGTAGAGTCTGCTTGCGGGACGATTCGTAATGACTCTCGAAAACAGCACGTAGACGCCGCTCAGGAGAGACATCGGTCTGTAGTTCTTCAAGAGCATTGCCGCCTTTCTTAAAGCACAAGACTATCGCACTTCTGCTCCACGCCTCCGGAGTAGCAGGGCCCCGCCGTTTTTAAGGTGCTGGAGAGCCATTTTAATCTCGCTCGGACTGACATCCGGTTATGATCGTTACTCACACTTGCGTGTGGCTCCAACGATGATGTGTACAGCTGCCCATAGAACCTCTCAATCTCACTCAAAATCTCAGGTGTCCCGGAAACGATGCTGCCACACTAAGTCTTCAGCTTTTACAGTTGGCTCTTTCTGGCAGACAGGTCTCTGGCAAAAACTTTGGAGCCCTGGTTCCGCTCGATCGCTTCATCAATAAGAGCAGTATTAAACGTGCGTAAGTCTCGCCGCATGCATTTGGAGATCTGTCGGTTCAGTTGCCTGTATGCTATCAAATCTGTTGACGATTGCAGTCCCATCTCCCGTCTAACAGCCATGAGATTAAGAGTGTGCTCGGAGTTTTTGTGTTCTTCCGCGGCGGGTCTTGCAGAACTTAGATCCGACCGCATGGACAGTTTCCACGAGCTTGTCATTCATATCGCCCACTGCATTGCAATCTTCTAGGCACTGAAGCGGTTACGTAACTCGAGCTGAAAGGTTTCGGGATTACTTACTATACCAAATTTTTTTTAAGTGTGTATAAGTTTCGGTTTGTTGAAAAGTTTGTTAAAAGATAATTATCAAGGAGCCCGTATTATTGATTATTCAAATGAGTCTGACAAGTGCGAGAATGAGTCGTGCACTCTCGGTAGAGAGTAATTGTGTTCTGTGGTCGTGTAGTGAATAAAATGTGAAAGAAAACTCAGAATTGGTTGTATATAAGAACAAACAATCCAGAATCACACACGTCACAGTCTTATAATTAAAGTATACATAACTTTGTGAAGCAATTCACTACATATCTGTAGAAATTACTACTCTTGTGCAGCGACATTGACAGACAACCTAGTCGCGAAATTCATTATTTTTTACTTTATTATCAACGAATATTTTACTTCTATTAGTACCGTTATCCCCTCTTCATTCTTAAAACTACGATCGGAATTGCCTCCTAAATATTGTATTGTTTTATGTATATATAGACCACAGCGAATAATTGTAATATTTTCCTGCCGAGATAACTGAGTCAATGCTGTTTGTTTATTAGCTCTACTATATTTCATCGATGGAACATTATATGTTTTGCGATTTCAAAATTGATTTCAGTAATGAAGCGCAGCTGACCTTTTCTTTCGTTTACATATCTTGTCAAATATAGACGCGGTTAATCCACTTTTTTTCTATTTTTTAATCATTCTTGACCTTGCTATCGTCCGTGTCAGTAGTAAGTCTCTTTGTTGTTCAGAAAGTTCCATTTGTTTAAGAAATTCACTTTTCGACATCTGAAAATCTTTATCCTTTTTATAATTGTATAACACCTAATTTCATATGATTGTAAAGGACGGATTCAAGGCCTATTGGCATTCCCTCCCATTCAACCCCGTATTATAGCCAGTTAACTTTAAAATTACATTAATTAGAAGTCATTTAATTTTGTATCCTGGGAGTTTCTGTAAAATTATAATAAATTAAAAAGTAGCATGCTGGGACCAAAATAAAAAAGCATTTTGCTTTTAAATAATATTATTATAAAGTTATTTATTTGCCAGCCTCGTTCTTCTAAATCCACAGCAAATTTCAAACTCGTTTTACAAATATATTCTGCTCTTTATAATCGGAAACAGATAAGTAAAATACCCGTTCCGGGATAGAATCGTATTTGTAGTTCGTATCTTTGTTGGTCAGAAAGTTCCATTTGTTTAAGAAATTCACTTTTCGAGATCTTTGGCAGTTATATCTGGTCTTTTTGCTTTTTGTCCATAATCTGGATCATCCATATTACTGCGAAATCTTTTTCAAAACAATCTTTTGTACAATCTTGTTTTCAGTTTATGTGCCTCATATGAATTTGTGTATTTGCCAAATATGTGTTTATGGATTGTATATATTTTCGTGTAAAAGGAAATTCTTACAACCGCACACACTTACAAACGCATACAGTATTTATTTTTAGACAGAGATACAGTATTTTTTCAGTATATGCACCGATTATTGCTGCTGCTCCTGATGATGCTGAATAATTATTACGGAATGATCTTTTAGACCAACATCCGTCAGCTGTCACGTCAATCATCGGTGTACCTTCAACATCTATACTTTGAATTTCTTTTGCATAGTCAGCTTCCTCGATGCCAGCCTTGGCCATTTCTTCCACTGCCGTAATATGGAACCATTGGTAAACTTTTAACCCACAGCCAATATTAATAGTACCTGCAACGACACCGTGATTTACATCACAAGTGTTTGAAGGATCTTCAGTGTCACTTAAAACGTGATTTCGGTGCTAAACCTTTTTGTCGCTCATCGATACATTTCCGATTTGTATATCTGCATCCAAAAGATTTAGTATTATGATCAGCTATCTTCCCTAACATTTCTAAAAAAAATATCTAATCGATACGATTATTCGTCTTTCTAGGAAAAAACTCCGTAATTGTTCATTTCTGTATAGTGTAAAATTTGTAGCTGGTGGTTTTCGCTAACATTTATAAGCTCCTGACGTTTCATTACTAAAATTTGAAGAAAAGGAGAAGCCTCCTCAAATTTTCGTTTCCGCCTTTCCTTCTTATTCGTCATACTTTGAGTGTCAGGCATTGTTACAGACTCAATATTCGTCAAAGCCTTTCGTAAAAGTTTACTTTTGTCGTGTCCTGATAAACAATGTTCGTAGATTTCAACGTTGCTAACATCTGACAATTGTTGTTGAGAGCCAGTAGTGTACCTAAAAACAAATAGACAAATCATTTGGAAACAATTCTTAAAAGTACCCAATTATAACGCAAGCTAATATTTAACCAAATGCACAAAAAACAACTTACCTTTAATTGCTATTTCTTTTCATAACTTGAACTAAATCACATGTTTATAAAACAAATACACAGCGATTTACAAGTTTATAACACCTAAATGAAATTTAATATGCAAAAAATAATAAAGTAGAGCAACATTCAATTTGTATCAACGCTCAACCAAGGTTTGATAAAGAGAGCGAGAGGTTTCGCACAAACTTGGCACAGAACATACTTCTGAACACTACGGCCGGTCAGCGAAGGGTCAGGAATACCAAGGAATATTCCATGCAATTATTGTTTATGAACTCATTTTGTAGATCGATGAAATAATTATTACTTTTAAAATAAGGTAGTTTAAATGATTATTTTTTTTTGATATTTGTCTAATTAAAGACTTGCTACTTAGAAAAAAAATAATTATAGCATAAATACTTCGAGTCGTTGCTGATGTACCAAATAGGCTTTTCTGAGGTGATAGCAGGGAAATTTGTCCAAACTGAGAGCTCTTATTTAAGACTAAAAGAAAAAGAATATAATTAGATAATTAGAAAAAAAGGAAACAGCGCATTTAGTATAAATACGCTGGAAAGATTTAATCTCATTATTAACGATTGCCTTATAATGGTACACGAACAAACCTCGAAATGGCGTTGGATACGAAAAAGCTGTGTTTATCGTTAGTTTTCACTAACACAAACCACATAGATGAACCTAAGAACCTAAGTGGCGCTAACGACTCGATACGAGTCAACTATAAAAACCTTAACTTATTCCAAATAAATGCAGTTTAAATTAGCACATAAGGCACGGATTTTTATAATAATTGCATAAAAAATATACAAAAAATTGACTTTTATCTGGTACACTTTTATATTTATATAAAACACGCTTACATAATATTTTATATATTTTTACCAGATAGCTCACGAAAATAGTTTTGCTCGAGTGTGTATTTTCATATGCTTTTGCAAAATGCTTTTTATATTACATCTAAATTCACATATATTACATAAAAAAGGTTTTTCACAGGTGTGTATCTTCATATATGTTTGCAAACGAATTTTAGTAATACATCTATATTCACAGATATTACACGAAAAAGGTTTTTCACCGGTGTTTATTTTCATATCTATTTGCAAATCACTTTTTGTAATAGATTTATATTCACAGATATACACGAAAAGGAAACGACGTTTTGTAATACATCTATATTCACAGATATTACACGAAAAAGGTTTTTCGCCGGTGTGTTTTTTTATATCGGGGGGATAAGTCGCTCGCGTCCGTAGGCTTTGACCACCTCTTCCTAGGCCCACCCTACACATGTCCCCCGGGTGGTGCTTACTTAAATACTTTACCCATATTCGCACCATGAGGAACCATATAAAAGAAATGGCCCCAGAGTTCCCGGCGCCCCTTTAATGAGGCAGGGGTGCGAAGAATCTCCGGGAGGAAAACCGGCGACGAGGAGGCGAAAAGTGGATTGCAGAGGCCCGTCTGGCTACGTTGAATGTATGTGGGGCAATGAATGATAAAATGGATGAAGTATGCGATATGATGTATGATAGAGGAATGGATGTGTTATGTGTAAATGAGACGAAAAGAAAGGGGAAAGATGTCACTACACATGGCATGTATACCGCATACTGGTCTGGTGTAGACGAGATCGAGCGGGCATGTCAGGGAGTAGGTATCATCCTTTCAGAAAGAATGGGCCAATGTGTGAAAGAGTATGAATGTGTAAGCCCAAGACTGCTATGGATACGAATGAAAGTGGGCTTAAAGAAGTTGTTTGTGTTAGGGGTCTACGCCCCAGACATGTCTAAGCCCACTTATATCCGAGAGCAGTTTTGGGAAATGGTAAGGATGGTGTTAATGAAGTGTAAGGGAAATGAAAATATTATTATGCTAGGAGATTTTAATGGAAGGGTTGGGGTGAGGAAGGCTTGGTTATGAAAGGATATTGGGAACGTTTGGTGATGAAAGTATAAATGAGAATGGTGAAAGTCTCCTCACCGTATGTATGGAAAAGAATCTTTTTGTGACGAACACTTGCTTTCGCCACAAGAAGATTCACATGTATACTTGGGAAAGAGGTGACGATAGAAGCATGATAGATTTCATAATTGTGGATGAAAGATTAAGGGGCGCAGTGGTAGATACAAGGGTTTACCGGGGTTCTAACGTAGGAACGGATCATTATTTGGTTTTATGCCGAATTAATGGTCTATTCAGGCGTTGGCGCCATCGGTCATCTGTGTCTACCACTGCGTTACAGCGTATTAGAACAGAAAGATTACAAGATGAAGGTGAGAAAAACAAGTTCAAATATAGTCTGAAAGAAAATATAAGTGGTTTGGATGAATTATGTATGAAAGAGTTAGACTTGGAGAATGTATGGCAAAATGTAAAGAAAGGTTTAGTGGATGCAGCTACCGAAGTATGTGGTGTTAGTAAGAGAAAGAATGAAAGGAAAAATAATACGTTATGGTGGGATGATGAGATACGTATGGAAGTTGAAGCAAAGAAGAGAGCATGGCTAGATTTACTAGCAACAAAGGCTGGTAATTCTAGCGGTACGAATGACGATATTGAAAGAAAAAAGGCAGTCTTTAGACATCTTAATAAGAGAGTAAAAGAAGTAGTTGAAAGAAAAAAGCAAGAAAGAACGGATAAGAAGATAGAAGAATATCGGATAATTTCTAGGCAAATATTAAAATGTTCTGGAAACTTGTAAGAACTGCCAGGGGACATTCAAAACAGCCTATGATGAATGCTATAAGAGACGAGAATGGCTATATTCTGAATGATGAAGTTTTAAGTTTAAAGAGATGGAAGGAATATTTTGAAAGCGTGTTTATGAGTGAGGAGATAACGAGTGTACTAAGTGAAGTAGAAACTCCGAAAGAAGAGGAAAGAGGTAGCGAGATAAGTATAGATGAAATAATGAAAGCAATGAAAAGCATGAAAGCAGGTAAGGCTGCCGGATATGATAGAGTTTCACTCGAAATGCTAGGGGCTGGAGAGGAAGTGGTGGCAGGCTTGCTGCACACCTTGTTTAATTTATGCTGGGAACTGAAGCGGGTACCGGTAGACTGGTGCAAAGCCGTGATAGTCCCAGTATATAAAGGAAAAGGGTCGCAGCAGGACTGTAAAAACTACCGTGGCATCAGCCTTCTTAGCATTGTGGGAAAACTATATGCTAAAGTACTGATTGAAAGGGTCATGAAAGAAACTGATGGAAAAATTTGGGATGTGCAAGCGGGATTTAGAAAAGGAATGGGATGTACAGATCAAGTCTTTTCCATGCGCATGATCGCGGAGAAGTTTTTGGCCAAAAAACCAAAAGGTTTTTTGTGCGTTCATGGACTTAGAAATGGCCTATGACAAAGTTGATAGGGATGTGCTATGGCAAACACTGAAATCATTTGGGTTGAGCGCAGGCTTGATACAGGCATTGGAGTCTCTTTATAGGGACTCTAGTGCTTGTGTTAGGATCAACGGGGTCTACTCGGACTGGTTTGACATCCATAAAGGTGTCAGACAGGGCTGTGTGGCTTCCCCGTGGCTGTTCAACCTATTTATGGACAGTTGTTTGCAAAATTTGAAAGTTGAAGAATGCGGACTAAGAATGGGTGAGTTAACCGTCAAATGCCTTTTGTACGCCGATGATCAAGTTATCCTTGCATCGTCGGCGGCCGAGTTGCAAATGATGGTCACATTAATGAACAGATCATTAAAAGAAAGGGGTATGAAAGTGAACGCAAGTAAGACGAAGGTTATGGTTATTGAAAGAGAAGAAAGTAAAACGATTTGTGAAATAAGAATAGAAGGGGAGTTGATCGAGCAAGTAGACGAGTTTGTATATTTGGGCTGCGTATTTAGCAGGGATGGGAGATATGATAAGGATATAGAACGACGAGTGAATGCGGGAAATAGAGTAAATGGGGCACTACACTATATTGTGAAGAGTCAAAATGTGTCGAAAAAGGCACGTATGGCAATTCACAATGCTGTGTTGGTCCCTACTTTAACGTATGGTAGTGAAAGTTGGGTGTGGCAGAAGAAGCACGAGAGTAGAATGAACGCAGTAGAAATGCGGTCGTTAAGGAGTATGTTAGGGCTGAATCTGAATGACAGGATAAGAAATTGTGTAATAAGAGAAGAGTGTGGTTTGCAAGATGATGTTGTGACCAGGATTAAGAAAGGAATGCTTCGATGGTTTGGTCATGTGGAAAGAATGGATGAGGAAAGAGTGACAAAGAAAATATATGTTGCAGAAGTGAATGGCAGAGTCGGAAAGGGACGTCCTAGGCGAAAATTTATAGACCAAATTGGCGATTTATTAAAAACGGGCCAAATTAGGAGTACCCTTAACCGACGAGCATGTATGCGTAGGTGTATGGATGTGAAGGAGGCGAGAGAGGTGTGTCAGGATCGTGCCAAATGGAAGTCTGTAGTCTCTGCCTACCCCTCTGGGTAACAGGCGTGAGTGTTTATGTATTTATGTATGTATGTTTTTTTATATGTCTTTGCAAATCGCTTTTCGTAATAGATTTATATTCACAAATATAACACGATTTTTTTTTTCACCAGTGTGTATTTTCATGTCTTTGGAAACGACTCTTTGTAATACATCTATATTAACAGATATTACGGGAAAAGGTTTTTCTCCGGTGTGTATTTTTATGTGTTTTATCAAACCACATTTTGTTGTAAATTTATATTATTTACAGTGTGCATTTTCATATGCCTCTACAAACGAATTTTAGTAACACTAATCTCTTCACTAACACATCTATATTCACAGATATTACACGAAAAAGGTTTTTCGCGCGTGTGTATTTTTATATGTCTTTGCAAATCACTTTTCGTAATACATTTATATTCACAGATATTACAAGAAAAAGGTTTTTCACCGGTATGTATT